CCCCAAAAGCTTCTTTTCGGAAGCCTGGATAAATTTAACAGATCGAAGAAGGATGCAAAGATCAGCTTGTGGGACCAATTCTCTTAGGGGAGAGAGGTAAAAAAGGGAACTTGAATTCCAAATGAAAAGATACAATCAGAGAATCAGAGGGCGGGGAGGGAGCCTGGAGGTCTTCTAGTCCAACCGCCCCACCCAAGGCAGAAATCCTCAACTTAGGACCACAATTTCAAGCAGAATTTCCTGTAAAGCAAGGCCATTGTTAAGGGAGACCTGCTCAATCTTACAATCTGTTTTTTTTTTTTTTTTGCCTTGGTTGTTACCGGTAAGTTGTTAAGCGAATCACACAGTCATTAAGCAAATTCCCTTGGCAACTGGCATGTACCTATGACAGTTTCAGGGTCCCAATTGTTTGCGACTTTCCCAATCAGCTTCCGACAAGTCAATGGGGGAAGCCAGATTCACTTAACAACCTCGACTTAACAACGGTTTGTTTAGCGACCACTCCAAATTACAGCGGCACGGTTTTTAAAAAATGATTTATGACCATTTATGAACATTTTTCACACCTGCGACCGCTGCAGCAACCCCAGGGTCACATGATCAAAATAGACGCTTGGCAACTGACTCGTATTTATGACGGTCGTGGTATCCCAACAGGTCACGTGATCCCTTTTGCCGACCTTCTGACGAGGAACGTCAATGGGGAAGCCAGATTCACTTAACAACCAGCTTATTAACTTAACAGTTGCAGTGATTCACTTAACAACCCTGGTGAGAAAGGTTGTAAAATGAGGCAAAACTCACTTAACGACTGTCTCAGTTAGCAGCAGAAATTTTGGGCTCCATTGTGGTCGTAAGCCGAGGACTACCTCTAATTTACTTAATCTCTGCGGCAAAAAATTGACTCATTTAGTGACCGCATTGCTTAGCGACAGAAGATCTGATTCTAGTTGTGGTCGTAAGTCGAGAACCACAATGTACCCACCACTTCCAGGTTAATCTTGATGGGATTTAGGTGGTTTTGGGGATCAAGGGTTCGAGCGGAAGAGGCGATCTACTTGAACCCCCCCCCAAACCCTCATCCGGTGAACCCCCATCAGCTTCCCATCCATATTAGGGCATCTTTGAAGAAGATCCGATCATCACATTTGTCACCCAGCCAAGTCTTCAAACCCAACCAGAAGCCAATCGCTTCCATTCCAGCTGAGTCATTCAAACATTGCGAAAGCACTAATATCCTGCTTTTCCCCCCTTGCTCATCCTTGTGTCGCCTTCCGTGCGTATGTTTAACATTAGAAGTCAGAGGACATGGATAACTTTTGTTTTGGTGAACTACTTGAGAGAGTCTAGGGCAGGGCCGAAAAGCTTGACATGAAAATTAAATTCCTTCCTTCTCTGGTCTCCCTCCATCCCTGGTCCCTGCTCACGGCTGATTTGCTTGCAAACCAATTAATTAGCAAAGTAAGTGGCTAGTTCTCAAGGAGCTGGTGGAACTGGGATGCGATGGTGCGCCTTGGAAAATCTCAGTCTAAAGCGGGATTAGAACTCACCGTCTCTTGGTGATTGGCCCAAAGTCACCCAGCTGGCTTTCATGCCTAAGGCGGGACTAGAACTCACCGTCTCCTGGTGATTGGTTCAAAGTCATTCACTGGCTTTCATGCCTAAGGCGGGACTAGAACTCACCGTCTCCTGGTGATTGGTTCAAAGTCATTCAATGGCTTTCATGCCTAAGGCGGGACTAGAACTCACCGTCTCCTTGTGATTGGCCCAATGTCACCCAGCCAGCTTTAATGCCTAAGGCAGGACTAGAACTCTCCTGGTGATTGGCCCAAAGTCACCCAGCTGGTTTTCATGCCTAAGGCGGGACTAGAACTCAGCATCTCCTGGTGATTGGCCCAAAGTCATCCACTGGCTTTCATCCCTAAAGCAGGACTAGAACTCACAATCTCCTGGTGATTGGCCAAAAATCACCTACCTGGCTTTAATGGCTAAGGCAGGACTAGAACTCACAATCTCCTGGTGATTGGCCCGAAGTCACCCAACTGGCCTTCATGCCTAAAGCAGGACTAGAACTCACAATCTCCTGGTGATTGGCCCAAAATCACCTAGCTGGCTTTAATGGCTAAGGCAGGACTAGAACTCACCATCTCCCGGTGATTGGCCCAAAGCCACCCAGCCGGCTTTCATTCCTAAGGTGGGACTACAACTCACCGTCTCCTGGTGATTGGCTCAAAGTCACCCAGCCGGCTTTCATGCCTAAGGTGGGACTAGAACTCACAGTCTCCTGGTGATTGTAACATGGTTAGTGAATCTGGCTTCCCCATTGACTTTGCAAAAGGGGAACACCCGATTGCAACCGTCATGAATCCATGCCAGTTGCGCAAGCATCTGGATTTTGATCATGTGAGCGTGGGATTGTTGCAATGGTTATCAGTGTGAAAAAACCAATCCTACGGCGCTTTCCTCAGGGCCGCTGTGACTAAACGAACGGTCATAAACCGAGGACTGCCCTTTAGATGGAGACCCCTTGTAGCTGAGTTCTGGGCGTGCATCTTATAGCCTTGCTGGAAACCGGCTGAAGCAGCTTTGAGTTGGCCGGCGGTGAGCAAGGCGTAGAGTTTTCTGTTCCAGCGGTTCCAGATGTTTTATAGCTTGGGAAAAAAAGAACGCTCACCCCTAAGAAATGTCAAGTATTCCGAAGTAGGACTTTTTAAAAGTCTGTTACTCAGCATGCAAAATGAGGGGAAGGGTGGCTAATGGTGATGATGAGAAAGCCGATCCTGGGGCGGGGGGGGGGAGGACCAGGAGGGGGAAGGTTTAAGACAGTTTTAAGCCAGGAATGTTTGGCAAAGGGGACAATTGACGGCAGCTGGCAAATCCCAGATAGTTCTGGCTCACTCAGTGACATGCCAAAGGGAGTCCCGTCTCGTGCATCCTGACTGCCCCCTACTGATAAGAGATGGTTATGCCCAGCGGTGGGATGCAGCCAGTTTGCACCAGTTCGGCAGAACCGGTAGCTCATTTTTTTGTTGCCCAGGCCCAGAACGGACTTCCGGAAGTGGCATCCACACAGAGAACTGCTTGTTCACCTATTTGAATCCCATCACTGTAGATAGCTAGCTAGATAGCTAGATAGATGATAGATAGATAGATAGATAGATAGATAGATAGATAGATAGATAGATAGATAGTAGATAGATAGATAGATAGATAGATAGATAGATGGATGGATGGATGGATGGATGGATGGATGGATGGATGGATGGATGGATAGATAGCTAGATAGATGATAGATAGATAGATAGATAGATAGATAGATAGATAGATAGATGATAGATAGATGGATGGATGGATGGATAGATGATAGATAGATAGATAGATAGATAGATAGATAGATGGATGGATGGATAGATAGATAGCTAGATAGATGATAGATAGATAGATAGATAGATAGATAGATAGATAGATGATAGATGGATGGATGGATGGATGGATGGATGGATGGATGGATGGATGGATAGATAGCTAGATAGATGATAGATAGATAGATAGATAGATAGATAGATAGATAGATGGATGGATGGATGGATAGATAGATAGATAGATAGATAGATAGATAGATAGATAGATAGATATAGGCAGTCAAGCAGGCAGCTAGACAGACAGACAGACAGACAGATATAGAGAGGGCTTTTTTTTGTCATAGAACGCCCAGAACGGAGTTCCGGCATCTTTTTTGGATGGAACCTTGTAGGGTAGTCAAGGCGGGTTGTACGATGTGTGTGAGTTCCGGCACCTTTTTTTTTTTTTTTTTTAGAAAAAAAGCACTGGATACAGATGATAGATATATGATAGATAATAATAATAATAATAACAACAGCAACAACAACAACAATAATAAAGTTGGAAGGGACCTTGGAGGTCATCGAGTCCAACCCCCTGCTCAGGCAGGAAACCCTATACCATTTTGGACAAATGGCTGTCCAGTCTCTTCTTGAAAATCTCCAGTATTGGAGCATTCATGACTTCTAGAGGCAGGTGGCTCCACTGGTTACTAGTCCTCATTGTTGGGAAGTTTCTCCTTAGTTCCAGGTTGCTTCTCTCCTTGATTAGTTTCTATCCGTTGCTCCTTGTCCTGCCTTCAGGCGCTTTGGAGAATAGCTTGACCCCCTCTTCTTTGTGGCAGCCCCTGAGATATTGGAAGGCTGCTATCACGTCATTCCTAGTCCTTCTTGATTCCTGGTATTCTTCCTGATTAAGAGGGTTGGACTAGAGGACCTCCAGGGTCCCTTCCAACTCTCTGTTATTCCGTTAAGTTCACCATTGGTTCGTGTCCACTCCTTCTTCCTTCCTTTCCCAGCCTCCCTCACGATCTCTCAGTCCATAAAACCTACATACTGACCCACCGGGACGTAATTCAATTGGATTAAAATTTGGTGGAACATTCAAAAGATTTTTAAGATAAAGTTTACCCCTCAATTATTTTTGTTGGGTATTATTGTAGATTTTGATGTTAAAGAAACTAATTTGATATTGAACTTAATAACAGCAGCAAGGTTATTGGTAGGGCAATATTGGAAGAAAGAGTCCTTGCCTACTATACAAGAATGGACGTTTAAGGTGTCAAATTTAGCAGAAATGGCAAAAAATTCTGCCTATTTGAAGGATCATACACAAGAAAGATATATTTCGGTTTGGAGAAGATGGATAGATTATAGTCAGAATAAATAGGGGATTAAAAAGTTTCATCTATCTTATGAGTACATTTTAGATTAGTATTGATATTTGGCATTACTATGGTTTAATTAATATTGACTTGTTTATATTATTCTTTTTGTTTTAATTTGCTTATATTTATCTTAAATGGGAGTTAAAGTATTTTATGGATTTGGTTACTTATATAGTTGGGTAATGTTAATTAGAATTGGAGTATTAATTTGTAACCCTCTGGGAAGTGGGGGGGAGGGTTAGGGGTGGGTGGTTTTGGGGATATTGTATACCGTATAAAACTTTTCAATTAAAAAAAAAGAGAATCCAGAAGGCGCCATCAATTGCTGTCAGTGAGTGTTTCATTGGGGTCAGGTGCTTGAAGCCTGATTTCTCAGAAAAAGGGCCAGGGTTTGGAAGGTGGGCCAGTCTTCCCCTCTGCACCCATTTTACAGCTCTCTGCTCTGCTGGTCCGTGAACTTCCTCCTGCGGATCTTCATGGCAGCCTTAATTTCCCGGGTGATTAATTCTTGCCAGGGTTGGCTGTGAAGAAGGAGCCATTGGAGAAGGTCAGCTTGGGAAGGCCCCAGAGTGGGAGCATGGTGGGGACGGTGGAAGAAGAAGATCTTTTACAAGCGGTCCTTGACTTGCAAGACCTTCTGTCCCTCCCTCCTCCCGTCTTTCCTTCCCTTCCCTTCTCTTTTCTCCTCCTTTTCCCTGCTTCCTTCCTTCCTTCCTCCCCTTCCCCCCGTTTCCTCTACTCCCCTCCCTCTCCCACTTCCTCCTTCCTTCCTTCTCTTCCTTTCCCTCCCCTCCTTTCCTCTCCTCTCCTCCCCTCCCTTTCCCACTCCTTCCTTCCTTCCTTCATTCTCCCTTCTCTCTTCCTCTCTCCCTTTCCCACTCTTCCTCCTTCTTTTCTTCCCTTTCCTTCTCTTTTCTCCTCCCTTTCCCTGCTTCCTTCCTTCCTCCCACCCTCCCCTCCCCTTCCCTCCTCTCCTTTCCTCCCCTCCCTGTCCCACTCTTCCTCCTTCTCTTCCCTTCCCTCCTCTCCTCTCCTCCCCTTCCTTTCCCACTCCTTCCTTTCTTCCTTCCTTCCTTCATTCTCCCTTCTCTCTTCCCCTCTCCCTTTCCCACTCTTCCTCCTTCTCTTCCCTTCCCTCCTCTCCTCTCCTCCCCTTCCTTTCCCACTCCTTCCTTTCTTCCTTCCTTCCTTCATTCTCCCTTCTCTCTTCCCCTCTCCCTTTCCCACTCTTCCTCCTTCTTTTCTTCCCTTTCCTTCTCTTTTCTCCTCCCTTTCCCTGCTTCCTTCCTTCCCTCCGCCCTCCCCTTCTCTTCCCTTTCCCACTCTTCCTCCTTCCTTCCTTCCTTCCCTCTTTTCCTCTCCTCTCCTCTCCTCTCCTCCCTTTCCCACTCCTTCCTTCCTTCTTCCCTTCCCTCCTCTCCTCTCCTCTCCTCCCCTCCCTTTCCCACTCTTCCTCCTTCCTTCCTTCTTTCTTCCTCCTCCCTTTCCCACTACTTCCTTCCTTCCTTCCTTCCTTCCTTCTTTCTTCCCCCTCCCTTTCCCACTCCTTCCTTCCTTCCCTTCTCTTGCCTTCCCTCCTCTCCTCTCCTCTCTTTCCCACTCTTCCTTTCTTCCTTTCTTCCTTCCTTTCCTCTCCTCCCCTCTCCTCCCCTCCCCTTCATTTCCCACTCTTCCTCCTTCTTCCCTCCCTCCCTTCCTCCCTCCTTCCCTTCTTCCCTCCCTCTCCTCCCTTTCCTCTTCTTCCTTCCTCTTCCCTTCCCTTCCCTCCTCCTCTTTCTTCCTCTCTCCTTCTTTCCTTCTTTCTTTTACTTGCAACGATACCTTTAAACAACTTCAAACAATAACTGTCTGTCCCAAGTCCTTGGGTGGCATTCGATAGGTGGATAAAAATGCCACATCCAGCCTAAAGATCTGGCTGATTGTGGGACCAACCGCCATAATAATTACCCGGGTTTTATTTCCGGTGGATGAGGGAGGGTTTTCGTGAATCCTTTTTTGCCAACTAGCCAGTAGGTGTCTTCCAATCCTTTGCCCTATTTAAAAAAGGGACATGTAAATCCAATAGAATGGGTATTTTTTAAAAGAATAGGAGCATGTTATTAATATTTTTTTTTTAAAAAATCAGTTATGTTTTTGTAAGTCCATTTCCAAAAAGAAAAATTACAAAACAAATTCCTCACCGCTCAAAAGAAAAGGGAAAAAAAAAACAATTCAAACAACAGCCCAATGCAATAAATAAGAATCTGATCATTGATGGAATTGGGAAATTGATCTCTTCTATCCAGCTGAATCCAGAATCACTTACAAAGGTTTGGCCAAGTGAAGCCTGATCTGCCCACTCCTGCATTAATGATCCTGCATTTTGGGGAAACAATAAAGGTTCCCCCCTTAATTTCATTATGTAGCCAATTTCAATAATCATAATCATAAATATTAACAGAGGCGGAATAACAGTGGCAAAAGAAAGCAGACGTAGGACCAATAGGGATAGGCGCCTTGGGTGCTATCCCAAAACATCTGGAGCATCCCTTGAACACCACTGGCGTTGACAAAAGCCCCATCTGTCAATTGCAAAAGGCAGCATTATTTTGAACAGATGACCGATGACATCAAATATCCACATCTGGCTATCCCAGGTCCTTTGGAAGGACTGGATAGGAAGACAAAAATGGCCATCTGGTCTGAACATCTGGCTGACTATCCCATGAACCAGACGTCAGATTGGCCCCCAACCCTGTTAGCTTTCTGTAAAGTTTTCAAGACTTGGCTATCCCAGTTTTATTGTTAACAAGCCAAATTGTCTTGCTTTGTATATATTCAAATTAGACATTTTAATGTTTGTTTGTGTTTTAATGGTTTTATTGTTTTGAGATGTTTTTAAGATTTTAATTGTAATATATGTTTTTGCATTGTGAGCCACGCAGAGTCATTCGCTCCAAGAGGTGGTTATAGAAATCAAATACATACATATGTATGCAGACATACATACACACATGCATACATACATACATACATAAAATGCTGCCCAACTGCCAGCATCTCTGGCCATTTGCCCAGGAAAGTTGAGAAAGGATTTATGCAATTTTGGGCAGTTCATTATCTAGATTTTAGGTATAATTATTGTTAGAGTCGTGGCTGAGAGATAGGTGGCCATATAAATTGTATAAATCAAATTCATTCATTCAGTCAGTCAGTCAGTGAATCAGTCAGTCAGTGAATCAGTCATTCAGTCAGTCAGTCAGTCAGTGAATCAGTCAGTCACAGTGAATCAGTCAGTCAGTCAGTGAATCAGTCAGTTAGTGAATCAGTCAATCAATCAGTGATTCAGTCAGTCAGTCAGTCAGTGAATCAGTCAATCACAGTTAATCAGTCAGTCAGTCAGTGAATCAGTCAGTCACAGTGAATCAGTCAGTCAGTCAGTCAGTCAGTGAATCGGTCAGTCAGTGAATCAGTCAGTCAGTCAGTCAACCAGTGAATCAGTCAGTCAGTGAATCAGTCAGTCAGTCAGTGAATCAGTCAGTGAATCAGTCACAGTGAATCAGTCAATCAATCAGTGATTCAGTCAGTCAGTCAGTGAATCAGTCAGTCAGTCAGTCACTGAATCAGTCAGTCAGTCAGTGAATCAGTCAGTCAGTCAGTGAATCAGTCAGTCAGTGAATCAGTCAATCAATCAGTGATTCAGTCAGTCAGTGAATCAGTCAGTCAGTCAGTCAGTGAATCAGTCAGTCAGTCAGTGAATCAGTCAGTCAGTCAGTGAATCAGTCAATCAATCAGTGATTCAGTCAGTCAGTCAGTGAATCAGTCAGTCAGTCAGGCAGTGAATCAGTCAGTCAGTCAGTCAGTCAGTCCTGCAAGGTGAGAAGGGAGTGAATACCCCATTATGTGTTTCAATGGTTGTGCTTCCTCCAATGAACAAAAATCACAGGCAAGTCAAGAGGACTAATCCCCTGAAACAGGTAGACCCCATCGTTCCAACACGATGGTTCAGCAAAGTTGCTGAGGTTGCCAGCTGAAAACCTGACACTCAGGTTCGACACCCAGGCCCTGTGAGCTCCCGTTTCTTGCTCCAGCTCCTGCCCACCTAGCAGTCTGAAAGCATGCAAATGTGAGTACCGGTAGTCCTCGATGTAGGACCACAACTGAGCCTTAAATTTCCGTTGCTAAGTGAGACAGTTCTTGTGAATTTGGCTCCATTTTACAACCTTCCTGGCCAACCATTGTTAATTTGAATCGCTGCAGTTGTTACGTTAGTAGTACGGTCGTTAAGCGAATCCGGGCTTCCCCCATTGACTTTGCTTGTCAGAAGGCCGCAAACGGGGATCACGCCCCCCCCCCCAGGACGCTGCAACCATCCATGCCAATTGCCAAGCGTCTGAATTTTGATCACGTGACCCTTGGGGATGCTGCAATGGCCGTCAGTGTGAAAAACGGTCGCCAATCAACGTTGTAACCTTTTTTTTGGTGACCTTTCATGCAACAGTCACTAAATGAATCATGTAAGTCAAGGGCAGGACCGGACAGAGGGGAAACTTTTCTTTTCCTTTCGTTTCCCCCCCCCCATCCCACTGAAACCTCCTTACCTTCAGTTCTGTCTTCCCTCTGAAGTTCATTTTGTAACCATCTTTAAGATTCTGAAGGATCCTCATTGTATTTTGGCTGATGTGAATCCTGTAGGCTGGAAATGGTGGTTTGATTTTAGCAAGAGAGAAAAGGGCACACCTCAACCCTGGCCGCATCCCTGGCACATACGCTCAAAATTCTCCAAAGTGCCTGAAGGCAGGACAAGAAGCAACGGATGGAAACTCATCAAGGAAAGAAGCAACCTGGAACTAAGGAGATATTTCATGACAGTGAGGACAATTGACCAGGGGAACCACCTGCCTCCAGAAGCGGTGAATGCTCCAACACTGGAAGTTTTTAAGAAGAGACTGGACAGCCATTTGCCTGAAATAGTATAGGGTTTCCTGCCTGAGCAGGATGTTGGACTAGAAGACCTCCAAGGTCCCTTCCAACTTCTTCTTCTTCTTCTTCTTCTTCTTCTTCTTCTTGAACCTGGCTGAGGCTCAACTGGAATCTCTTTGTCCAATTTTCTTCCTCCTCCTCCTCCTCCTCCTCCTCCTCCTTCTTCTTCTTCTTCTTCTTCTTCTTCTTCTTCTTCTTCTTCTTCTTCTTCTTCTTCTTCTTCTTCTTCTTCTTTTTCTTCTTCTTCTTCATCTTCTTCGTCTTCTTCGTCTTCTTCTTCTTCTTCTCCTTCTCTCCTCCTCCTTCTCTATTCTTCTTCTTCTCTTCTTCTTTTCTTCTTCTTCTTCTTCTTATTCTTCTTCTTCTGCTTTCCTTCTTCTTCTTCTCTTACTTCTTCTTCTTCTTCTTCTTCTTCTTCTTCTTCTTCTTCTTCTTCTTCTTCTTCTTCTTCTTCTTCTTCTTCTTCTTCTTCTTCTTCTTCTTCTTCTTCTTCTTCTTCTTCTTCTTCTTCTTCTTCTTCTTCTTCTTCTTCTTCTTCTTCTTCTATTATTATTATTATTATTATTATTATTATTATTATTATTATTAGCCAGAGAGAAATCAAAGGAGAAAAGTAGAATTAACTGATCTAGGATGTTTCCTGTCTGGTCTACCCGATAAGGCTGATACATGCCCCCTTGTTGTTTTGGGCTCAAACCATGGTTTCCCCCTCATTACTTTGGTAACAAAACTGGTCTCTTTCCATCTAGGTCATCTTGCTTGCTCTCTAATATAATGCTTGCAAGAGTACAGACTAACAAAGTTGGAAAGCATCAGAACAGAGCTGGAAGGGACCTTGGAGGTCTTCTAGTCCAGCCCCCTGCTCAAGCAGGAGAACCTATACAGTCTCACACAGGTGGTTGTCTAGTCCCTTCTTAAAAAAATCTCCAGTGATGGAACACCCACGATTTCTGGTGGCAAACTGTTCCACTGGTTGATTGTCCTCACTGTCAGGAAGTTTCTCCTTAATTCCAGGTTGCTTCTCTCCTTGACCAGTTTCCATCCATTGTTTCTCGTCCTTCTTGATAATGGAATAACAGAATTGGAAGGGACCTTGGAGGTCTTCTAGTCCAACCCCCTGCTCAGGCAGGAGACCCTAAAACCTTTTTGGAAACTGGCTATCCAGTCTCTTCTTTAAAACCCCCAGTGATGAAGCACCCACAAACTCTGAAGGCAAGCCCTTCGACTGGTTACTAGTCCTCATTGTCGGGAAGTTTCTCCTGAATTCCAGATTGCTTCTCTCCTTGGTTAGTTTCCATCCACGGTTTCTTTGCTTTCTGAGGCTTCGGAAAACACACACACACACACACACCAACAAACTTCAAATTAGATGTCAACGCTGCAAATATTGTATATTCTTGCTTTTGACAATATGCAGAATTGTCTGGTAAATATGGGGTTAATAAAGAGCAGAAGGGGCGTTGGGGGTAAAGCCCAGGGAAAGAAAGAGGAAGAAAACATTTGACCTTCACACTAATTGGATAGTGTGAGATACTAGGCCTAATTTAGGGAGGGAACATGCCGATAATTTAACTGCTCAGAGGAAGAGAACGTGGATCCTAGCATCCCTCCGTTGTGCCTGTGCCTACGTTTTGTAACAATAGAAGACTTTTAGGAAAATAAATGCCTGGAAGTTCTTTGGAATGTTTCATTAGCCGGAACCACAACATCAGAGGCCTTGCCCGCAATTCCACACTAACATTTCCTTAACAAACCACCCAATCCTTACGCAATCCGGTGGACTCTATTCGCGAAGCCGTATTCACCGTGTCTCCAAACAGACAGTACCTGGGCATGGTGAGACCTACCACTCCTGCAGCACAGGGGCCTAGGAAAGTTAAAAAGAAAAAAGAAAAAGGAAAAAAAAAGATTGAAGAAATTAATGAGATGAATCTAGGTCAGTGGTGGCGAACCTATGACACGCGTGCCAGAGGCGGCACTCAGAGCCCTCTCTGTGGGCACGCGCACCATGCCCCGGAGATGGCAACTGTCTCTCTTCAACCAGCCGCCCGCTAACTCGCCAAAGTCCCACATGGCTGGATGCATCCCGGTATGGCTGGTTTCTCTCCCCCCCCCCGTCCTGTCCCTCCTGGCCTCCTGGCCTTTTCCTGGGCACAACCCACTGCATCGCCTCCTCAGCTGTCGGCCATGGGCCATACCGTCGGCCCCCATGTGCTCATTGGCCTCTGTTTGGGGGGGCCGATAGTGTCAGGCAGCAGCTGCCCCGGCCCCTGCCTTGCCCCATGGCAATGGCACCCCCTGCCCTGCCTCGCCTCACCCCGCAGGACGAGCCTCCTGCCCACCGCCCCGCCTGCCAGAGACCCCCTGGATCTCCCCCAAACCTGCCCACCCCTCCCACAGGCATCCCTCCCCACGAGCAACATTGAGGTGACCAAGCCCACCTTGGCCCCACCCACCCAATCTGCTGTGACCACCACAGCCATGCCCATCCAGTGGGCCACACCCACCCGGCACCCGGCGATAAATAAGTGGGTTTTGGGTTGCGGTTTGGGCACTCGGTCTCTAAAAGGTTCGCCATCACTGGTCTAGCTTTTGCTACCGGAGCGTAGAAAAACTCAAAGAAACAGTGCAAAACCGGAAGATGCGGAGAAACCTTGCTTGGTGCAAAGAATTGCAAAGACAGGTTTTTGCTAAGCCAAAACAAAGTTTCCCCCCCCCCCCCCCAAGAATCAGGTCTGGTTTTAAGTTGGAGTATAGTTTTAAGGACCTCCAGATGGAGGGCAATCTTGTTTGATTCGATCTTGGTTTTAATAGGTAGTCCTCGACTTACGACCACAACTGAGCCCCCAAAATTTCTGCTGCTCAGCGAGACATTTCTTAAGTGAAGGATAATAATGACACTGCGGCCATACGGCATGGGGGAATTCGCTAAGACAGAAGAGGAAGCCCTGAGGATGCGGTCTTCAGCAGGGGGATGACACGGAGGGAGGGAGGGAGGGAAGGAACAGAAAAGGGAGGGAAGTAGAGGGAGGAGGGAAGGAAGGAATGACAGGGAGGGATGAAGGAAGGAAGGAAGGAAGGAAGGAAGGAAGGAAGGAAGGAAGGAAGGATAGGGAAGGATGGAGGAAGGGTGGAAAAAAGGAAAGGGACAAAGGAAGGAAAGGAGAGAGGGAGGAAAGAATAGTATGGGGTGGAATGGAATAGAATAGAATTACAGGATGGAATAGAATAGAATAGAATTGGAATTAGGAATAGAATAGAATAGAATAGAAATAGAAACAGAATAGAATAGAATAAAATAGAATTGAAATTAGGAATAGAATAGAATAGAAATAGAAGTAAAAATAGAAATAGAATAGAATAGAATTAGAAATATAGAATAGAATAGAATAGAATAGAATAGAATAGAATAGAATAGAATAGAATAGAATAGAATAGAATAGAATAGAATAGAATTGGAATTAGGAATAGAATAAAATAGAATAGAATAGAATAGAATAGAATAGAATAGAATAGAATAGAATAGAATAGAATAGAATAGAATAGGAATTAGGAATAGAAAAGAAGAAGAAGAAGAAGAAGAAGAAGAAGAAGAAGAAGAAGAAGAAGAAGAAGAAGAAGAAGAAGAAGAAGAAGAAGAAGAAGAAGAAGAAGAATAGAATAGAATAGAATTAGAAAGAATAGAATAGAATAGAATAGAATAGAATAGAATAGGAATTAGGAATAGAAAAGAAGAAGAAGAAGAAGAAGAAGAAGAAGAAGAAGAAGAAGAAGAAGAAGAAGAAGAAGAAGAAGAAGAAGAAGAAGAAGAAGAAGAAGAAAAGAAGAAGAAGAAGAAGAAGAAGAAGAAGAAGAAGAAGAAGAAGAAGAAGAAGAAGAAGAAGAAGAAGAAGAAGAAGAAGAAGAAGAATAGAATAGAATTAGAAAGAATAGAATAGAATTAGAAAGAATAGAATAGAATAGAATAGAATAGAATAGAATAGAATAGAATAGAATAGAATAGAATAGAATAGAATAGAATAGAATAGAATATTTGGCCAAATGTGATTGGACACACAAGGAATTTGTCTCTGGTGCAGAAGCTCTCAGTGTACATACAAGCAACAAGTGATAAATCATGATTATAATCATAAAATACATTCATCATAAATCATAAGGTACATAGGATGATAGTCATAGGGTATTAAATAAGCGATCAGCATAAATCATAGTAGGGTACAAAATGAAACAATTAACATAAATTGTAAGTTGCAAGCCACAAAATTATAGTCATAAGAAGATAAGGAGACAGGTAATAGAAAAAGTGAGAAGAAGAAGAGTAATTCAGCCTTACTAGATAGTTTGACAGTGTGGTGGGAATTAGTTGTTCAGCAGAGTGATTGGACCAAGAAGGAAGAAATAAACCTGGATACCTGAATGCAGCCCCATCCGTATCTTAACGGGCAAATCCGGGATATGCTTCACTCGGAAAGTTCCCACTGAGCTGAGGATATCCAGAGACATGTTGGCGATCTCCGCCGCGTGCCTGTGGCCGTTGCGTTTCGGGAGCCCTGAAGCCACCATATAAGCATCACCGATGGTCTCCACCTGGAAACCAAAATATTGCGGGGGGGGGTCCTCTCTGAGCTGGGTGGTTTTCTTGAAGACGTTTCATTATCCAAACTGGGTAACGTCATCAGTGTCAGAAGGGAAGGGGGCTGGAGGAGGAGAAGGAGGAGGAGGAGGAGAAGGAGAAGGAGGAGGAGAAGGAGGAGATGATGGTGGACCTTGGTGCTCTCTGAACTTGGTAGTTTTCTTGAAGACGTTTCATTATCCAAACTAAGTAACGTCATCAGTGTCAGAAGGGAAGCGGGCTGGAGGAGAGGAGGAGGAGGAGAAGGAGGAGGAGGAGGAGGAGGAGGAGGAGGAGGAGGAGGAGGAGGAGGAGGATGGAAAAGGAGGAGGAGGAGGAGGAGAAGGAGGAGATGATGGGGGACCTTGGTGCTCTCTGAACTTGGTTGTTTTCTTGAAGACGTTTCATTATCCAAACTAGGTAACGTCATCAGTGTCAGAAAGGAAGGGGGCTGGAGGAGGAGAAGGAGGAGAGGAGGAGAAGGAGAAGGAGGAGAAGGAGATGATGGTGGACTTTGGTGCTCTCTGAACTTGGTAGTTTTCTTGAAGACATTTCATTATCCAAACTAAGTAACGTCATCAGTGTCAGAAGGGAAGGGGGATGGAGGAGGAGGAGGAGGAAATGGAAGAGGAGGAGGAGGAGGAGGAGGAGGAGGAGAAGGAGGAGATGATGGTGGACCTTGATGCTCTCTGAACTTGGTACTTTTCTCGAAGACATTTCATTATCCAAACTAGGTAACATCATCAGTGTCAGAAGGGAAGAGAGATGATGGAGGAGAAGGAGGAGAAGCAGCAGGAGGAGGAGGAGGAGGAGGAGATGATGGTGGACCTTGGTGCTCTCTGAACTTGGTAGTTTTCTTGAAGACGTTTCATTATCCAAACTAGGTAACGTCATCAGAAGGGAAGGGGGCTGGAGGAGGAGGAGGAGAAGGAGGAGAAGGAGGAGGAGGAAATGGAAGAGGAGGAGGAGGAGGAGAAGGAGAAGAAGAAGGAGGAAGAGGAGATGATGGTGGACCTTGGTGCTCTCTGAACTTGGTAGTTTTCTTGAAGACATTTCATTATCCAAACTAAGTAACGTCATCAGTGTCAGAAGGGAAGCGGGCTGGAGGAGAGGAGGAGGAGGAGAAGGAGGAGGAGGAGGAGGAGGAGGAGGAAATGGAAAAGGAGGAGGAGGAGGAGGAGAAGGAGGAGATGATGGGGGACCTTGGTGCTCTCTGAACTTGGTTGTTTTCTTGAAGACGTTTCATTATCCAAACTAGGTAACGTCATCAGTGTCAGAAGGGAAGGGGGATGATGGAGGAGGAGGAGGAGGAAGAGGAGGAGGAGGAGAAGGAGAGGACTGTGGGGTCCTTGGTGCTCTCTGAGCATGGTTGTTTTCCTGCAGACGTTTCATGACCCAACTAAGTAACATCATCAGTGCCAGAGGGAAGTGAGGGACTATAAACTGAGAGCAAAGCCCACTCCTTACTAGCACTGATGGTGTTCCCTAGTAGTTGTATGTAGCAGGATTCAACCTGGACTCAGAGGGGAGATATTAGCAAACCTCAAGGCCGTTGACAAGGTGGAAAAATCAAAACACATTCCAGAAGAAGAGAATCACAAACTCCTTTAGTCTTGAAGAAAAGTGGAAAACAAGGAGCTACCTTGTAGACATCATGATGACCAATGATGGCGTCAAAGAGAGTGTAGAGGTCATTCAGGAAGTCCACAATTTCAATAGGCTCACAGAGGGCGGACATGGTGGTGAAGCCGATGATGTCACTGAAGTAGATGGTAACCTCGTCGAAGTATTCGGGCTCCACAGATGCTCCTCTTATCAGCGTTTCAGCCACTGGCCTGAAATAGCATTAAGACAGGGGTGGGGAACTATGGCCATTTTATGACCTGTGGACTTCAACTCCCAGAATTCCTGAGCCAGCATGGGGGAACTATGGCCCCTTCATGACTTGTGGACTTCAGCTCCCAGAATTCCTCAGCCAGCATGGGGGAACTATGGCCCTTTCATGACTTGAGGACTTCAACTCCCAGAATTCCTCAGCCAGCATGGGGGAACTATGGCCCCTTCATGACTCGGGAACTTCAACTCCCAGAATTCCTGAGCCAGCATGAGGGGAAACTTTGGCCCCTTCATGACTCGGGAACTTCAACTCCCAGAATTCCTCAGCCAGCATGGGGGAACTATGGCCCCTTCATGACTTGAGGACTTCAACTCCCAGAATTCCTGAGCCAGCATGGGGGAACTATGGCCCCCTCATGACTTGAGGACTTCAACTCCCAGAATTCCTGAGCCAGCATGGGGGAACTATGGCCCCTTCATGACTCGGGAACTTCAACTCCCAGAATTCCTGAGCCAGCATGAGGGGAAACTTTGGCCCCTTCATGACTTGAGGACTTCAACTCCCAGAATTCCTGAGCCAGCATGGGGGAACTATTGCCCCTTTGCGACTTGTAGTCGTAAGTTGAGGACTCCCTGTGTCTAGAGGAGAGGCTTGATTGCTTTGCACTTACAAGGGGAGCATCTGCGACAGCAGCTGCTCCGTCTTCTGCTTTTCCACCTCCAGTTCTTCCGTTCTCTCTCTGATTAATTCCTCCAAGTTGCTGGAATAGTTTTCCAACATCCGCAGCATGGAGTCCATGATGTTCGTCCGTTTTCCTTTGTTGATGGTTTTGAACTTGAGGAGGGAAAGGCAGGAATCGAGGCTGGATTTCGGAGTGCAGTGCTTCTCAGTCCACCCGATAAAATATAGCTTTTGTTGGCTAAATCTGCATTGACTAGAAACAAACCCTCCACTCTCAATGCAGAATCCACAAACCAGCCTAAAGTCACCCAGCTGGCTTTCACGCCTAAGGCGGGACTAGAACTCACTGTCTCCTGGTGATTGGCCCAAAGTCACCCTGTCAGCTTTCATCCCTAAGGCGGAACTAGAACTCACCACCCCCTGGTGATTGGCTCAAAGTTACCATGTCAGCTTTCATGTCTAAGGCGGGACTAGAACTCACCGTCTCCTGGTGATTGGCCCAAAATCACCCAGCCGGCTTTCATTCCTGAGGCGGGACTAGAACTCACCATCCCCTGGTGATTGGCTCAAAGTCACCCTGTCAGCTTTCATGTCTAAGGCGGGACTAGAACTCACCGTCTCCTGGTGATTGGCCCAAAGTCACCCAGCCGACTTTCATTCCTAAGGCGGGACTAGAACTCACCGTCTCCTGGTGATTGGCTCAAAGTCACCCAGCCGGCTTTCATCCCTAAGGCGGGACTAGAACTCACCGTCTCCTGGTGATTGGCTCAAAGTCACCCAGCCGGCTTTCATCCCTAAGGCGGGAGTAGAACTCACCGTCTCCTGGTGATTGGCCCAAAGTCACTCAGCCGTCTTTCATGCCTAAGGCGGGACTAGAACTCACCGTCTCCTTCTTTATATCCTGGTGCTTTAACCCGACTGGGTCTCAATATAATAAGGAACGCCGTACAATAAATGAATCAACCTCAGAAGTCCTAACCTGTTCAAAGACCTTGTCAAACGTCGGCCTTCGCTTCGGCACTTCACTCCAGCACTGCTTCATCAGCTGGATGTATTGCAAAGGGGTGTTTTCCAGGGGAACGCTCGGCCGAAACAAAGTCAGGGGGTGCTTCAGTTTGCTTATAATCTCTGGGCCAAAGAGGAAAAAAAAAATCACAAAAAAAGTCCTTTTCGTCAGAGGTCGAGTCCCTAATCATTCCTCTCTTCCCAAGAGAACCGACGACACGGCGTCACCCAATTTCGCAGACGCAGAAAACGGGTTAATTCGTTGTACAGGGAGTCCTCGACTTACGACCGCAATGGAGCCCCAAATTTGGGACGTGAGTTTGGCCCCATTTGATGACCTTTCTTACCAGACGTTGTTCAGTGAGTCACGGCCGTTGTTAAGTCAGTAACCTGGTTGTTAAGTGAATCTGGTTACCCACTTGACTTTGCTAGTCAGAAGGTCGCAGAAGGGGATCACGTGACCCCGGGACACTGGAACGGTCATAAATACAAGTCAGTTGCCAAGCGTCCGAATTTGGATCACGTGACCGCGGGGAGGCTGCAACGGTCGTAACTGTGAAAAATGGCCATAAGTCCCTTTTTTCAGTGACGTTGTAACTTTGAGCAGTCACCAAATGAATTGTTGTAATTCGAGGACTACCTATACAGCTAAAGGTTTTTCCTTCCTTCCTTCCTTCCTTCCTTCCTTCCTTCCTTCCCTCCTTCCCTCCCTCCTTCCTTCCTTCTCTCCTTCCTTCCTTCCCTCCCTCCCACCTTCCTTCCTTCTCTCCTTCCTTCCCTCCCTCCCACCTTCCTTCCTTCCCTCCCTCCTTCCTTCTCTCCTTCCTTCCCTCCCTCCTTCCTTCCTTCCTTTCTTCCTCCCTCCGTCCCGCATTCCTTCCTTCCTTCCCTCCCTCCTTCCTTCCTTCCCTCCCTCCCTTCCCTCCTTCCCTCCCTCCCATCTTCCTTCTTTCTTTCCTTCCCTCCCTCCTTCCATTCTTTCTTTCCTTCCTTCCTTCCTTCTTCCCTCTCTCCCTCCTTCCTTCCTCCTCCCTCCTTCCTTCCTTCCTTCCTTCCTTCCTTCCTTCCTTCCTTCCTTCCTTCCTTCCTTCCTTCCTTCTTTCCCTTTCTTTATTTTCTATGTTCTGTATTAGTTTGGGTTCATTTTTATGTTCTCCTTAAAACTTTTAATCGTGTGTGTGTGTGTGTGTGTGTGTGTGTGTGTGTGTGTAGAGCAAACAAACAAAGAAATCGATAAATAAAATGGTTTAATTCATAACCAAGTGAAGGGTGTTGCACGAACCTGCCCCCCCCTCGTGTCACTCTTTGGCTTTCTTTAGAGTGACAACCTATAATCCATGTTGTGCATGGTGGCTGTGTAGGGAACTATTGCAGCCCTCTCATTACATGATTCGGGCAGCAACACAAAATCCTAGACTGGAATTTAGAATTTAGAATAATAGATCTGGGAGGGACCTGGGAGGTCTTCTAGTCCAACCCCCTACACAGGCAGGAAATCCTATACCACTTCAGACAATGGGGATGTTTTATTTATGTCTTTATTAAGCCGGCATGCCACCCAACCCTTCACGGCTCTAGGCAGCTCAGAACACTCCGAGACCTTACAATAAAATCAACGTAAAGTAAGATCAAACACAGCAACGGAAGGGAAGGGAGCCATCTGAACTGAGAAGAAGGGAAGCTGGGCCAAGGGTTCAAGCTGTCCCAAAAGGCCAGCAACATTTGACCTAACGAAGGGGCCACTCTAAAATAACCTGGGGGGAATAGTGTGCCTCAGTGGGCCTGCTGGTAGGCCTGGCCCTGAGGCTTCCTCAGAGCAGGGCTCTCCAACCTTGGCAACGTTTAAGATTTGGCAACTTCCACTCTCAGAATTCTGGGAGTTGAAGTCCACAAGTTTTAAAGTGGCCACGTGGCATGGCTGGCGGAGGAATTCTGGGAGTTGAAGTCCACAAGCCTTAAAGTGGCCATGTGGCATGGCTGGGAGAGGAATTCTGGGAGTTGAAGTCCGCAAGTCTTAAAGTGGACAAGTGGCATGGCTGGCGGAGGAATTCTGGGAATTGAAGTCCGCAAGTCTTAAAGTGGCCAAGATTGAAGACCCCTGCCTTGAAGACGCAGAGTGCAAGGGACAGCGACGGTGCTGTCCTTGGTCCTGAAACTCTAAATTACAGAAAGCTCCACAGAATAGGTTGTCTCTGACTTACGCCCATTGGTTTAGTGACTGTTCAGAGAGACAGTGGCAGTGAAAAAAAAGTGAATAACAGAATAACAGAGTTGGAAGGGATCTGGAAGGTCATCTAGTCCAGCCCCCTGCTCAAGCAAGAGACCCTGTACCATTTCAGACAAATGGCTGTCCAGTCTCTCTAGAAATACTCAATTCCTGCAATTATTCATTATATGTTTTAGCCTCCAGTATAATAATAATAATAATAATAATAATAATAATAATAATAATAATAATAATATATTATAGTATAGTATATGTATGGCCAATACATTAAAAAAATAGCTGGGAAAGCAGATAATAACAAGATCTGGCAATGGCTAAGAGCAGGAAAATTGAAGAAAGAGACCGAGGGACTAATTCTGGCTGCACAAGACCAAGCCTTAAGGACAAATGCATATAAAGTCAAAATTGAGAAGACAGCAACAGACAGTAAGTGCCGCCTATGCAAAGAAGCTGAAGAAACAGTGGACCACCTGGTAAGCTGTTGCAAGAAGATTGCACAGACTGACTACAAGCAGCGGCATGACAAAGTAGCAACAATGGTGCATTGGAAGATCTGCAAAAAATATCATTTGCCTGTAAGCAAAAACTGGTGGGATCATAAAATAGAGAAAGTCATAGAAAATGATAAAATTAAACTGCTCTGGGACTTCAGAATTCAAACAGACAAGCACCTGCAACATAACACCCCAGACTTAACAATTGTCGATAAGAAAGACAAAAAAGTCTGGATAGTGGATGTGGCAGTGCCTGGAGATAGCAGAATAGAAGAGAAAGAACTGGAGAAGATAACAAAATACAAAGACCTACAAATAGAAATAGAAAGACTGTGGCAAAAGCAAGCAAGGGTAGTACCAATAGTATAGGCTCCTTGGGTGCAATCCCAAAACAACTGGAGCACCACTTGAACACCATTGGCATTGACAAATTCGCTATTAGTCAATTGCAAAAGGCAGCCTTATTAGGAACTGCTTCCATCCTGCGACGATACTGTAATACCATCAAACATCCACATCTGCCTATCCCAGGTCCTGGGTAAGGACTCGATAGGTAGACAAAATGCCAAATCCAGTCTGAACATCTGGTTGACTGTGCGATGATCAATAATAATAATAATAATAATAATAATAATAATAATAATAAGAAGAAGAAGAAGAAGAAGAAGAAGAGGAGGAGGCGGAGGAGGAGGAGGAAGGAGGAGGAGGAGGAGGAGGAGGAGGAGGAGGAGGAGGAGGAGGAGGAGGAGGAGGAGGAGGAGGAGGAGGAAGAAGAAGAAGAAGTTGGAAGCAACTTTCTGGAAGCAGGTTGTCTCACTGGTTAATTATTCTAACCGTCAGGAAATTCCTCCTTAGTTCTAGTTTGCTTCTCTCTTTGGTTAGTTTCCATCTGTCGCTTCTACCTGTAGTATGGAGTTAAGAGGGGACAAGAGCTGCAGAGAAACATCTGAACAGCAAAGAGCTGACCTTCAGCCGACAGCTCCGCCGTGCCATAGGGAGGCCCTCGGAGTATTACTTCTTGCAGAATGATGGCAAAACTGAACACGTCGCCTTGCAAGCTGCCTTTGGAGCCCAGCTGAGGATCTCTGAGTAATTCAGGAGCAGTCCAAAGCAATTCTTAAAAAAAGAAAAAAAGAAATAAAAATCAAAACGCGGACCCTGTTAGTCAGCCATGGGTTGACGAAAGGTTCTGTAAGGATTGCCCTTTTTTTAGCCCAGATCTTACAATACAGATTGAAGAAGTTGGAGAGCTGTTTATAACTCCAGGTTAAGTTTTCCAGGGCATTGCAAGTTTGAAACGCTTCCGTCGTGGTTTAAGTACTATTGCTTCCCTGCCTTCTGGGATTGAAAGTTATTCGTGCATTCACTCATTAGAACTTTTACTAGCTTTTGTTTTTATTTTATTTTTTTTTCTGGTTTCTTTGGTCGGTGAATTTAAGGCTATTGAAAACATGAGGATAATTAAGTTCCTTTCCTTTCCCTTCCTTCCTTCCTTCCTTCCTTCCTTCCTTCCTTCCTTCCTTCCTTCCTTCCTCTCTCTCCATTCCCTTCTCTCCTCCCTTCCCACCCTTCCTTCTTTCCTTTCTTCTTTCTTTTGTTCTTTTCTTCTTCCCTCCCTTTTCCCTTCTCTTCCCTTCCCTCCCTCCCTCCCTCCCTCTTCCATTCCCTTCTCTCCTCCTTTCCTCTCCCTTTCCTTCTTTCCTTTTTTCCCTTGCTTCCTCCTTCCCTCCCTTTCTTCTCTTCTTTCCTCCCTCCCTCCCTCCCTCTTCCATTCCCTTCTCTCCTCCTTTCCTCTCCCTTTCCTTCTTTCATTTTTTCCTTGCTTCCTCCCTCCCTCCCTTCCTTCTTTCCTTCATTCCTTCCTCCCTCCTTCCTCCCCTCCCTCCTTCCCTCCCTCTCTCCCTCTTCCATTCCCTTCTCTCCTCGTTTCCTCTCCCTTTCCTTCTTTCTTTTTTTCCCCTTTCTTCCTCCCTCCCTCACTTCCTTCTCTTCTTTCCTTCCTTCCTTTTCTCCCTCCTTCCCTCCTTCTCTCCCTCTTCCATTCCCTTCTCTCCTCTTTTTTTCTCCTTTTCCTTATCTTCCTTCCTTCCTTCCCTTCTTTCCTCTCCCTTCCCATTCCCCTTCCTCTTTTCTCTCCCTCCTTTGATGTTTTTAAGCAGAAAAGTCGTCTGAATGGTCATCTCTTAGAGAAGTACCAGCTGCTTCTGCACCAAGGGGGGGGGTTATTCTAGAAGACCTCCATGGTCTCTTCTAACTCGACAGTCTATCTCTTCCTTGCCTCTTTCTCTACTCCACAGTATCCTAAAAACAATATCAACATAATATATTCCCCCCAGAATTCCATGTATAGATATTCACCGAAGTGCTCAATTTCTTCCTTACGGAAAAAAACAGGCAAACTATTAGTAAGTCACTGTTTACCACGAGACGGAAGGCAAATAAATTAGATACGGGTAGTCCTCAACTTACAACATTTCGTTTAGTGCAGTGGTTCTCAACCTGTGGGTCGGGACCCCATTTGGGGTCGAACGACCATTTCACGGGGGTCGCCAAACAACGCAGTCCACAGTTTTTCCCCTCTTCCTTAGCTGTGCTACTCCCTTTTATTCTATTGGCTTTTGAAAGCCAATAGAAGAGACTCTCTTGAATAAAGTCTAATTCTATTGGCTTTCAAAAGCCAATAGGAATTGTCCAGGCTGTCTCTGCCCTGCTGAGCCCGCCAAAAGTCCCATTCTGCAAACGGTGCTGCACCAGTTGAGTAGTCCTCGACTTACGACCGGTTGAGTAGTCCTCAACTTACGACCGGTTGGGGGTTGCGGCATTAAAAAGGTTGAGAACCACTGGTTTAGTGGCTATTCAAAGTTACAATGGCACTGAAAAAGGTGAGTTATGACCGTTTTTCACAGTTACAACCTTTGCAGCCTCCCCATGATCATGTGATCAAAATTCAAACGCTTGGTACAAGAAATGGAAAATCAGGGTTTCAGTCTATCGTGGTGGGCATATTTACAAATGCAAGCTAGAGATGATAAAGATGTTAAACCTGTATGAATTTTATAAGGAACAAACTGCGTTTGATACGACATTGTTAACTTCTGATGGGAAATTAATTAAGGAAACGTGTAATTTTCTATTAACTTTGAAAACGGAAAGCGAACAAGTGAAAGAAGCAACGATAAGGTGGGCGAAAAATGTTGGATACAATATAGAATTAGAAAAATGGCAAAATTTCTGGGAAAGAAGTCACAGAGTGAGAATGCCAAGTTCCTACAAAGAAAATTTATATAAAATGTTTTATAGATGGCACTTGCCACCAGCTAGACTAGCAAAAATGTTCAAAAACAAGTCAGATAGATGTTGGAAAGGTAAACATAAGTCAGGCACTTATTATCATGTTTGGTGGACGTGTGACAAAGCAAAGAATTATTGGAAAAAGATACATGCCTGGCTAGAAAAGATGTTGGGAAAACATGTAGATTTTAAACCTGAACTTTTTTTTATTAGGTATAATGCCAGAAGAGACTGACAAACAAAGCATATATTTGATTTTGCACGTCACAACAGCGGCAAGAATTCTATTTGCGCAATACTGGAAAAATAAAGGAATACCATCAGATGAAGAAATAATCAAAAAAATACTAGAATGCGCAGAGATGGACAGACTGACTATGAGGCTGAAATAAAAAGAAGAAACGAAATATTACCAAACTTGGGACTTATTTTATCGATGGCTAGAGAAAGAATAAAGGATTAGGAATTAAATATGTATTAGCAAATGTAAACTCAGGCAGCACGTTGGTTGAAAAATTGTTACTGAATGTATGGGGGGGAAAAAACAATAAAAACTTTTACCCCCCCAAAAAAAATAATTCAAATGCTTGGCCAATGGCTCAGATTTACGACGGTTGAGCGTCCCGGGATCACGCGATCCTCTTATGTGACCTTCTGTTAAGCCAAGTCAAGAAGGGAAGCCGGATTCACTTAACAACTGGATTACTGACTCAACAACTGCAGTGACTCACTTAACAACAGGGGTGAAAAAGGTCGTAAAACGGGGCAAAACTACCTTCGGCAGAGGCCTGATCCTGGGAGACCCCCTGGGCGGCTAGTAGCTCCCCGTAGCCATAATCCGTGATTTTCAACACAAACCGTCCATCCACCACACAGTTGCGAGATTTGAGGCGCCCGTGGGTCAAGGCCTGGCTGTGTAAGTATTTCATGCCCTGGAAACAAAATAAAAATAAAAACAAAGCTTTGGCATTTTCCTCTGGGCCAATAGAAGAAACACGTGAAAAATTAAAACAATCCGCCTTCAGAAATGGGCCCTCAAGATGGTGGGATTTTACCTCAGCTGGTTTTTAGGACGGGCCTGGTCATCCTTTTACGGAGTGGACAGTTGGGGAGTGTGAGTGAATGCTAAAACACTGGAAGTTTTTAAGAAGAGACTGGACAGGCATTTGTCCGAAATGGGATAGGGTTTCCTGCCTGAGCAGGGGGTTGGACTAGATGACCTCCAAGGTCCCTTCCAACTTTATTATTATTATTATTATTATTATTATTATTATTATTATTATTATTATTATTATTATTATTATTCCAAAATGAGGAGATAGGGCACAAGGAAATTGGCAGAGGTAAGGTAAAAATTTAAATTTCTTGGACTCCAGAACCATCCAGGGTCCAGAACGACAAGATGGAAGCCAGGATTGCAATGACACTTCTAGGATTCACCTTTCATTTAAATTCAGATGGAGTCATGTTGATATTGGATTCATTCAATTCCGTGAATAGGATGAATTCTTTAGGTATGTGTGCTCGGCTGAAAGGATCTGGAGCCGAATCCAAGAATTTTAGGGGCCTTTTTGCAAGCTGGAAAAGTGCTTTCAGCACTTTTTAAGCACTAACTGACCATGTCTATCTAACTCCTTGGGATTAAAGGTAGGGTCACTCTTCAGAGCTGTATTCACTTAACAACAACAACAAAAACAACAACAAAAACAATAATAATAATAATAGTAATAAAGTTGGAAGGGACTTTGGAGGTCATCTAGTCCAACCCCCTGCTCAGGCAGGAAACCCTATACCATTTCAGACAAATGGCTGTCCAGTCTCTTCTTAAAAACTTCCAGTGTTGAAGCATACACAGCTTCTGGAGGCAGGTTGTTCCACTGGTTAATTGTTCCCACTGTGAGGAAGTTTCTTCTTAGTTCCAGGTTGCTTCTCTCCTTGATCAGTTTCCATCAGTTGTTTCTTGTCCTGCCCTCAGGTGCTTTGGAGAATAGTTTGACTCCCTCTTTTTTGGGGCAGCCCCTAAGATATTGGAACACTGCTATCCTGACCCCCCTTGTCCTTCTCTTCGTTAAACTAGCCATACCCAATTCCAGCAACCGTTCCTTATATGTTTTAGCCTCCAGTCCCCTAATCATCTTTGTTGCTCTTCTCTGTACTCTTTCTAGAGTCTCAACATCTTTTTATATCGGGGTAACCAAAACTGGATGAAATATTCAAGTATGGTTTACCAATGCCTTATAAAGCAGTATCACCTCTTTTTGTGATCCCGATTCTCTGTTAATGCAGCCCAGGATTGCATTGGCTTTTTGGGCAGCTGCAGCACACGGCTGGCTCCTGTTTAGCTGATTGCCTACTAGGACTCCGAGATCCCTCTCACAGTTACTACTTGAGCTAGGTACCGCCTATTCTGTACCTGTGCATTTGGTTTTTCTGGCGATAGAACCTTACTGCAACAGCAAGTTGAGAAACCAGAGGGAGACTTACTTTAATTAAATCCATCAAAAGGGATGATTTAAACATCCAGTCTAACTTTATGTCCATGTTTTGTAGCAAGTCCTGGAGGCTTCCCCTGGAGCAGAAACCCATCACGATTGCAGAAAGGCCCGTGTCAGATAAAACACCCAGAAAGGGGTTCACATTTTCATGGCGTAAGTCCCTCATCTACAGACAAATCAAAAAAGAAGAGAACAAGGAGGTTAAATAATAATAATAGTAGTAAAGTTACTACTTTACTCAGGGGCTGCCATAAAGAAGAGGGAATCAAGCTATTTTCCAAAGCACCTGAAGGCAGGACAAGAAGCAATGGGTGGAAACTAATCAAGGAGAGAAGCAACCTAGAACTAAGGAGAAACTTCCTGACAGTGAGAACAATTAATCAGTGGAACAGCCTGCCTCCAGAAGCAGTAAATGCTCCAACAATGGAAGTTTTTAAGAAGAGACTGGACAGCCATTTGTCCGAAATGGTGTAGGGTTTCCTGCCTGAGCAGGGGGTTGGACTAGATGATCTCCAAGGTCCCTTCCAACTTTACTACTATTATTATTATTATATAAGGAGGTGTAAGAAAGCACAGCATGGCTGAATGGGAAATTGTGGAAGGAGAAGTCCATCTACTTGAGAGGTTCCATTTTCTTGTTGTTGTTCAGTCACTAAGTTGTGTCTGATTCTTTGTGGCCCCCATGGACCATAGCACGTCAGAGCCACCACCACTCCATCCTCCACTATCTCCTGGAGTTCATCCCAAATCATGTTCCTTGCCTTGATGACCATATCTAATCACCTCATCCTCTGCCGTCCCCTTCTCCTATTTCCTTCCATCGTCCCCAACATCCGGGTCTTTTCCCAGGAGTCTTCTCCTCTCATTGGGTGGCTAAAAAATTTGAGCTTCAGCTTCAGGATCCGTCCTTCCAAAGAACATCCAGAGTTGATTTCCTTTAGGATCAACTGATTGAATCTCCTAGTACAGGGGTAGGCAGCCTTGGCTCTTTTATGACTCGTGGACTTCAACTCCCAGAATTCCTGAGCCAGCCATGCTGAGGGGAAAGGGAGAGGTTTCCAAGCTGAGCCATGCTGGCTCAGGAATTCTGGGAGTTAAAGTCCATGAGTCATGAAGGGGCCAAAGTTCCCCCATGCTGGCTCAGGAATTCTGGGAGTTGAAGTCCACAAGTCATAAAGGGGCCATAGTTCCCCCATGCTGGCTCAGGAATTCTGGGAGTTGAAGTCCACGAGTCATGAAGGGGCCATAGTTCCCCCATGCTGGCTGAGGATTTCTGGGAGCTGAAGTCCGCAAGTCATGAAGGGGCCATACTTCCCCCATACTGGCTGAGGAATTCTGGGAGTTGAAGTCCCCAAGTCATGAAGGGGCCATAGTTCCCCCATGCTGGCTGAGGAATTCTGGGAGTTGAAGTCCATGAGCCATAAAAGAGACAAGGTTGCTTACCCCTGTCCTAGGACTTTTGCTTCCATTTTGAGGGTGCCAAGGTTGCCTTTTTCACTGAAAAATGTGACTTATGACCGTTTTTCACACTTATAACCCTTGCAGGGAATTGATGTCCACTTGTCTTAAAGTTGCCAAGGGTGCGAAACACTGAGTTAAGATGTGTACGTGGGGCACAATTTGCTCTCTCCCTTTCTACGTACCTTGGTAAGCACATGGGTTGCGCGTGGCTTCCAATCACTGGCCAACACAGTCTCCAGTTTTTTCAGCCATACCCAGTTTCCCTGTCCAAGCAGAGCAAATCTTTTAAAACCAAAGTTCATATAACAAACTTTTTCACAGGGGTCCTTACGGGAATCAAGCGCATGTTAAACAAATTTGGTTCTGCCGATTGATTTTGATCATCAAAAGATCCCCGGGATGTCAAAAATTGTCCCGCATGTATCCGAATTTACAGCCCAAATGTTGGAGATGTGGAAGTTTAGATGCAACCTATTTTCACATTTGGTGGACTTGTAGAGATATAAAAGCTTTTTGGATTAAGATTTGGTGGAATATTCAAAAGATTTTTAAGAGAGAGATAAAGTTTACTCCGCAGTTATTTTTGTTGGTTATTATTGTAGACTTTGATGTTAAAGAAATCAACTTGATGTTGAATCTTATAACAGCTGCAAGATTATTAGTGGGGCAATATTGGAAGAAAAACTCTCTGCCTACTATGGAAGAATGGATACTTAAGGTGTCTAATTTAGCAGAAATGGCGAAAATCTCCGCCTATTTGAAGGACCATTCACAAGAAAAATATATTATGATTTGGAAAAGATGGATTGATTACATTCAAAAAAAAATATGAAACTGAAAAGTATTATCTTGCATATGAGTAGATTTTAGATAATTATTAATAGTTTTAATTATATTATTATTTTTGTTTATAATTCGTTAATACTTGTCTTGAAAAGGAGTTAAAGCGTGTTATGGTTTTGATTGATAGTATAGTTGGTTAATGTTAGTTAGATTATGTTTGTTTATTTGTTACCCTGTAATCAGCTCTGGGAAGTGGGGGAGGGGGGGAAGGGGTTTATATTGTATTAAATTTGTAAAACTTTTTATTAAAAAAAAAAGATCCCCGGGATGTCACCAATGGTGATCACGTGATCCCGGGACATTGCAACCATTGTAAATACACGGGGTTGCCAATCGCTTGCATTGTGATCTCTTGACTGTGGGGACACTATGATGGTTGTAACAGCAAGAACCGTGGATAACCTCAGCCACTTGGATGCTACCAAGATAAACGGGGATTAAGCCCAGACAAAGAAAATAACTTGAGAAAACACCCCAGTCTGATCCCTCCCTAGTTCATATGAAAATAAAAGTGGGAGGAGTATATTCAGACTTGCAAGATTTTGTTACTATAGCTTTACAATGAAAGATCTAATAGTGGTTAAGGCACCAGACTAGACACTGGGAGACAGTGAGTTCTAGTTCCTCCTTTAAACAGGAAAGGTAGGTGGGAGACTTTGGGCCAATCACCAGGGACAATGAGTTCTAGTTCTGCCTTAGAGACGAAAGGTAGCTGGGTGACTTTGGGCCAATCACCAGGAGACAGGGAGTTCTAGTTCTGTCTTAGAGACAAAAGATGAGTGACTTTGGGCCAATCACCAGGAGACTGGGAGTTCTAGTTCTGTCTTAGACAAAAGATAGCTAGGTGACTTTGGACCAATCACCAGGAGACTGGGAGTTCGTCTCTGAAAGGTAGCTGGGTGACTTTGGGCCAATCACCAGGAGACAGTGAGTTCTAGTCCCACCTTAGCTATGAAAGCCAGCTGGGTGACTTTGGGCCAATCACCAGGAGACAGGGAGTTCTAGTTCTGTCTTAGAGACAAAAGATGAGAGACTTTGGGCCAATCACCAGGAGACTGGGAGTTCTAGTTCTGCCTTAGCAATGAAAGATAGCTGAGTGACTTTGGGCCAATCACCAGGAAACTGGGAGTTCTAGTTCTGCCTTGTGCATGAAAGTCAGCTGGGTGACTTTGGGCCAATCACCAGGAGATGGTGAGTTCTAGTCCCACTTTAACCATGTAAGCCAGCTGGGGGACTTTGGGCCAATCACCAAGAGATGGTGAGTTCTAGCCCTGCTTTAGAGACAAAAGATAGCTGGGTGACTTTGGGCCAATCACCAGGAGACTGGAAGTTCGTCTCTGAAAGGTAGCTGGGTGACTTTGGGCCAATCACCAGGAGACAGTGAGTTCTAGTCCCACCTTAGCTATGAAAGCCAGCTGGGTGACTTTGGGCCAATCACCAGGAGACAGGGAGTTCTAGTTCTGTCTTAGAGACAAAAGATGAGAGACTTTGGGCCAATCACCAGGAGACTGGAAGTTCTAGTTCTGCCTTAGAGACGAAAGGTAGCTGGGTGACTTTGGGCAATCACCAGGAGACAGTGAGTTCTAGTCCCACCTTAGCCATGAAAGCCAGCTGGGTGACTTTGGGCCAATGACCAGGAAACTGGGAGTTCTGGTCCCGCCTTAGCCCTGAAGGCCAGCTAAGTGACTGGGCCAATCACTAATATTCCCCCATTTTTGTCTCTGCCACTATTTTGGGCTTTATCGATATTGATGGAGAGGGATCTCAAGAAATCCTCACTGCTCCTACGTCATGAAGGTCTCCCTTACCTCGTACACAGCCACATTGGAGGTTTCGTAGGTTAGAGTTGTGCTTTTCACCGACAACGAGTGGGTCACGGATCTGAGGCTGTGTTCTTCAGAGCAGCTCTTTGACTCGCTGAGGTTGTCAAGAGTTAACCTCTGGGAAAGCAAGCAATGACAGCCAGGAATTAAGCAAAGATGGAGACCAAGGGGGGGGGGAAAGAGCATATACGGGTAGTCATCGACTGACAACAGTTCATTTAGTGACCGTTCAAAGTTACAACGGTGCCAAAAAAAAGGGACTCCTGACCGGTTTTCAGAGTTACGACCTTTGAAGCATCCTCACGATCACGTGATCAGAATTTGGAAGCTTGGCAACTGACTCCTATTTATGACGGTCGCAGTGTCCCCGGGGTGATGTCCCAGTGGTTCACACTTATGACCGTTGCAGCATCACGTGTGTGTGTGTGTGTGTGTGTGTGTGTGTGTGTGTGTGACGTGGTCCCCTTTTGCAAACTTCTGACAAGCCACGTCAATGGGGGGAAGCTGGATTCACTTAACAACCGTGCTACTCACTGAACAAATACAGTGATCCACTTAACAACGGTGGCAAGAAAGGTCGTACAATGGGGCAAGACTTGCTTAACAACAGACATTTTGGGCTCTGCGGTGGTCGTAAGTTGAGGACAACCTGCACAGCTAGGAATTAAGCAAAGATGGAAACCAAGGGGGGGTATTGTCAACGCTGCTAACATCGGATATTTTTGCTTTGACGACAGATGGAGATGCAACCCTTTTCTTCTTATGTTTTACTCTTAGAGTTAGAGTTAGATGATGCTGGGGGGGGGGAGGAATGTGCATGAGAGTTTAGCTAGGACATAACAATGCTGAACCTAGTGTGAGAACCAAGGTTATTGAAATAAGAGATGATAAGAATTGGCGGCTAGAGAACTGGAGGGGAAGCCTGCGTTTCAAGCTAATTGGGGAATGTGATTTATGACAGTTAATTGGAAGAGGGAATTGTGCTTTGATACTATGTGCTCAAGGGGAGGGGAACTCAGATTATGGCTTCGACTATGTTAGTGCTGATGCTATGCTACTCGAATAAAGATTCTTTAAGGTAAACAATGCCTCGAAGTTCTTTGAAGAGGTTCATCTGTCGGAACCATGACAGGTATAGTCCTTGATTTACAACCATTCATTTAATGATCCTTTTGAAGTTACAAGGGCACTGGGAAAAGTGACATATGACTGATGCAACCGGCCACCATCTTGACTTTTTTGCCTATCTGGGCAGACTCCCCCCCTTAACCAATGAAAGACGGTCTCCCGTCACCTACCATTCGACTGATTTTGGTGTTTACAAAAGTTATATCGTCTAAAGTCAGAAACAGCCTCTGAGATCCTTTAACAAGTCGGCGGTTGGGGTGGCTGTTTCTGGAAAAAAAAAAACAGATTGAAAATACGCGTAAGTCTTTGGCCACCATCCCATTTTTTTCACTTAAAGGCAGTCCTCGACTTAACAACGGTTCACTTAGTGACTGAAGTTGCAATGGCACTTTAAAAAAGTGACTTTTGACCATTTTTCACCCTTAGGAACATTCCAGCATTCCCACAGACACGTGATCCAAAATTTGGGCGCTTGGCAACCGACTCACGTTTCTGACGGTCGCGATGTCCCCGGGGGGGGTCCACGTGATCCCCTTTTGCGACCTTCTGACTAGCAAAGTCAATGGGGGAAGCCGGATTCACTTAACAACCGTGTTACTAACTTAACTGCAGGGATTCCCTTAAGAAGTGAGGCGAAGAAAGATCATAAAGCGAGGCCAAACTCAAGAAAAGTCTCACTTAAGGACTGAAATTTCTTGGGCTCAATTGTGGTCATAGGTCGAGGACTAGCTGTAATACAGGGCCTGCCTAGATTGGCCTATTGATACCCCTTCTAACTCTTAAGGCAGGAGTCTTCAAACGTGGCCCTTTTATGACTTGCAGACTTCAACTCCCAGAATTCCTCAGCCAGCGTGCCTAGCTGAGGAATTCTGGGAGTCAAAGTCCACAAGTCATGAAGGGGCCATAGTTCCCCCCATAATGCCTCAGGAATTTTGGGAGTTGAAGTCCATGAGTCATGAAGGGGGCCATAGTTCCCCCCTGCTGGCTGAGGAATTCTGGGAGTTCAAGTCCACAAGTCATGAAGGGGCCATAGTTCCCCCATGCTGGCTCAGGAATTCTGGGAGTTGATGTCCACGAGTCATGAAAGGGCCATAGTTCCCCCATGCTGGCTCAGGAATTCTTGGAGTTGAAGTCCACAAGTCATGAAGGGGGCCATAGTTCCCCCATGCTGGCTGAGGAATTCTGGGAGTTGAAGTCCACAAGTCATGAAGGGGGCCATAGTTCCCCCATGCTGGCTGAGGAATTCTGGGAGTTGAAGTCCACAAGTCATGAAGGGGCCATAGTTCCCCCATGCTGGCTGAGGAATTCTGGGAGTTGAAGTCCACGTCATAAAAGGGCCAGGTTTGAAGACCCCTGCTCTGAGGCAACACATGTTTGATTCGGTTGCTAAATTTGCACAATCTCTCGCATTAGGCCTATAGGACCAGTCCAGCTGCACGGGGTTTTCTTTGGCCTCCCTTAATAATTTTGCATTGTTGTTATTTTCTGCAGAGGTGAGGCAGGAAGCCAGGAATTCTCTCTCCCTGCTTGAATTGTCAGAGGAATCCAAGCATCTGGCTTGCAATAATTGCTCTTTAAGATTTCTTTACTTAGCACAATTTATTTCCTGAAATCATTAGCTAATTGGGCCACCCACAAAAGCTCCGGAGAGATCAGAGATGCTCAGGTCGGGCGGTGGGGAAAATCTGGAGTGGATTCCTGGTGGAGGATGGGGTCGAGACTGACCATGCAGTGTAAAAGCTGGTTACTTAAGAAGAGACTGGACAGCCACTGGTCTGAAATGGGATAGGGTTTCCTGCCTGAGCAGGGGGTTGGACTAGATGACCTTCAAGGTCCCTTCCAACTTTATTATTATTATTATTATTATTATGGATTATCGCACAGTCAGCCAGATGTTCAGACTGGATTTGGCATTTTGTCTACCTATCGAGTCCTTACCCAGGACCTGGGATAGCCAGATGTGGATGTTTGCGATGGTATTAACAGGATCTGTCGCACTACTGAAGTCAGTTCCATTAAAAGGGCTGCCTTTGCATCTTGATAATACGCAGCAATGCTTGTCAATAGCCAATAGAGTGCTTCAGTGGTGCTCCAGTTGTTTTGGGATTGCACCCAAGGTGCCTATTACTATTGGTACTACCCTTGCTTGCTTTTGCCACAGTCTTTCTATTTCTATTTGTAGGTCTTTGTATTTTGTTATCTTCTCCAGTTTTTCTCGTCTATTCTGCTGTCTCCAGGCACTGCCACGTCCACTATCCAGACTTTTTTGTCTTTCTTATCGACAATTGTTAAGTCTGGGGTGTTATGTTGCCGGTGCTTGTCTGTTTGAATTCTGAAGTCCCAGAGCAGTTTAATTTTATCATTTTCTATGACTTTCTCTATTTATGATCCCACCAGTTTTTGCTTACAGGCAAATGATATTTTTTGCAGATCTTCCAATGCACCATTGTTGCTACTTTGTCATGCCGCTGCTTGTAATCAGTCTGTGCAATCTTCTTGCAACAGCTTACCAATTGGTCCACTGTTTCTTCAGCTTCTTTGCATAGGCGGCACTTACTGTCTGTTGCTGTCTTCTCAATTTTGACTTTGTATGCAGTTGTCCTTAAGGCTTGGTCTTGTGCAGCCAGAATTAGTCCCTCGGTCTCTTTCTTCAATTTTCCTGCTCTTAGCCATTGCCAGGTTTTATTATTATCTGCTTTCCCATCTATTTTTTTCATGTATTGGCCATGTAGTGCTTTGTCTTCCCATGCCTCTATTCTGTTCTTCATTTGGTCTTTCTTGTAGGCCAGTTTGGTCTCTCCAGTAGTTAGTAAGCCTTCCTGATATACTAATTTTCGTGCATCTTCATACATTGTTCTTCAGATATTCCCTTCCCAAGGCTCATTTTTTTTTCTTCTTCAACTGCTCATCTCAATGTTACTTGTAGCATTCCACGCCCACCTATTTGCCTTGGTAGATAAAGTCTATCAATGTCACTGCATGGATGAAGGGCATGATTCATTGTCATTATTTTTCTGGTCTGACTATCCATTGCTTTTAGTTCTGCTTGAGTCCAGTCCACTATTCCAGCTGTGTACCTACTGACTGGGATTGCCCAGGTGTTGATTGCCTTTATGGTATTTCCTCCATTGAGTTTGGATTTTAAGATCTTCTTCACTCTCTTGATGTATTCACCTCTAATCTTTTTCTTGACTTCAGTGTGCTTGATGTTGTCAGCTTGAAGGATACCCAAGTATTTGTAGTACTCTTCCTCATTCAGACTCTTAATGTTATTTTTGTGGGGCATCTTGATTCCTTCAGTTTTCACTATTTTTCCTTGTTTGATAGTAAGTGTGGCACATTTGTCCAAGCCAAACTCCATTACAATATCTTGGCTATATATACGGCAGTGTTGAGCAGCGATTCATTTCAGATGATGTTTTTCCATACAGCTTCAGATCATCCATGTAGAGGAGGTGGGATAGTCCTAGCAGATGTTTTTGATTGTTTGATAGCCTGTCCTTGATATATTCCAGTATTGTTGACAGATAAACAGTGCAGATAAACTAATAGTACTGGTTATAATGAATCTCCTTGAAATATTCCTCTCTTGATATTAACCTCTCCCAGCTTCTTCACCATTGTCTGCACTGTGTCTTCCATTGTGCCTCGATCTTAGCAACAAATTTTCTGGATGTTTTCTACTTACCTCCTGTTTTTCTTTCTAGTGCCCTTTAATTATCCAATCATGTGGCAGGAGTAGTCAAATGTCTGTTTTTGTAGTCAATCCTGCCACTTCCAGGTTGTCTTCCCTTCTCTTGCAGTTTTCCAAAGATCATTATTTGTCCTTTAGGAGTTGATCTTTTGTTCCTCTGCTATTGGGGGGGTTTCCTTTCTGCTCAGGTGGAAAGAGATTGTTTTCAACTAGATGCTGTTGTACTGCATCAGCTACCACACCAGTTAGTAATTTGAAAGTTGTTGGTAAGCAGTTAATTGGCCTGTAGTTACCTGGTGTTGCCCCTTTTGCTGGATTTTTCATTATTAGGTAGGTTTTCCCAGTTGTTAGCCACTTTTCAATTTCTTCTCCTTGTAGTATATTGTTGAATTGCTTGCAATGAGTGGGTGTATAACAGTTAGATGTTTCAGCCAAAACCCATGCAGTTCATCTTCACCTGGTGCTGACCAATTTTTGATTTTCTTTGCTCTTTTTTCTACCATTTTTGTTGTTATTACTAGTTCTTTCATTTCAACTTCTGTTTTATTTGCATCCACCTCGTTTAACCAAGCCGCATCCTTGTTGTATTGCTTTGG